AGAAGATAGAGAAAGAAAAGGAAAAAACAATGGTCTCTGAGACAAAGACTCATGCTTTGGAAACTTGGACTAAAACACTGCAGAGAGTGAGGAAGAGAAACTTGGATTGAAACACACTGTAGAGTAGATGATGATGATGATGAAAAAGAGGCTGAATTTAGGAACGAAGACGGTGAATCTTTTCAATAAAAATAGAGAATTATCTGATAAGAAGGGTATAAGCATAATTACGTTTTCAATTCTCACTAAATAAGTGACACGTGACGATTTTTGTCACTCATTATAACAGAAAGATGAAACTTATTAACAGAACAAAGTTCAGGAGAAATGATGTTACGTTTTAAAATCCATAGGACAAAGTGTTAAAGGCTCATAATTCGGATGAAATTTTTGAAATTAATCCTATTCTCTTTTCCAATTTTACCCCTAGGGTTTTCTTTTCTTTCTCTCTCTCTCTCTCTCTCTCTCTCCTTTCACGATTTCTCTCTCTTTAGCCCCTCTTCCCACTTCCCTCTCTTCCTCCTTTGGGTCCCTCCCTTCACCCTCTCCTCGTGAATGCAAATTCCGGCAACGATGAATCGTTGCTAGTTGGAGATCTTGTCGGAGCTCACAACCATGGCTGACGATGTTCTTCGTATTCGCCACGGGGAGATCAGTTTCAGCGCAAACAGCTCTGACCAGATCGCAGCGATGACAATGAGGCGGCGCCGATGCCGAGACGCAAACCAGATCCTCGATAGAGTCGCTCCAAGAACAGCAACGCAACCAAGATATGGGCCTTTCGACGGCAGATATGTGAGGATGGACAGCGGCAGTGTCGAGTTTCATTCCTTGATACGAATACGTTGTGAACAGCGAACTAATCCCGATCGTCGTGAAGCACTCCCGACCAAAGATCGCACAACACTTGCCGCGAAGACTCGATCTCCGTTCTGCAAACCAGATGCCGTCGTGAACAATATCCGGGGAAAAGTCGTCGTGAACCAATTATGAGTTTGTGAGAATTTTGCACACTGATATTGTTAACTAAGTTTTTGTTTAATGTGATTTGTTTTTCGGACTAGTTTGGATTTGTGATTAATTTTGATTTGTGATTTTCGATTCAGTTTGTGATTTATGATATGAATTTTTGATTTGTGCTTGATTCTGTTTGTGGTTGAGATTCAAGAATGTGGATTTTTTTTTTAAATTTAGGCCCCGTTAGAAATAGTCACATTTAACTTTTATGCTACAATAAAAAGCTCTCACATAAAATCACATCTCAACTCGAATTAAAAACTTGAATCAGCGAACTAAACAGACCCTTAAAGTTTTGCATTTTGTATGTGTTTGTGATTTAATTTACCAGTGTTTAACGGTTGTCAGGGGTGGCACGATTTTCGGATAAATTGAGCAATTTTTATATTTATTAATAAATATTATATTTATCGATAAATACAGTATTTAACGATTATTAGGATTGATAGTCATATTTTTAGATAAATATAATATTTATTACTAAATACGTTATTTATTGATAAATATAGTGTTAATCGGTTGCTAGAATGGTGGTCGGATTTTCAGATAAATATGATATTTATTAGTAAATGCACTATTTACTGATAAATATAGTGTTAAATAGTCGTCGAAAAACAGTGGCTGAAAAACAGTGGTTGGAAAAGGTTGTCGGTACTAGCCACTGAAAAACGGTCGCTGGAGCTGGCCGCCGAACGCGGCAGTCGATCGCTGGCACTGGCCATAGTGGACTTGACAGAGAGAGGTGGAAAAGAGACTTAGGGGTATTTTTGAGTTTTTAATAATGTTTAAAATTTAAAATATCATATTATGTTATAATCTACCATTTAAAAAAATGTTATAATTTACTAATCACTCTACTAAGTATGCTAGTTCACTCATTCTCTCAATAAAAAATAAAAAGGACTTGTAAAATAAAAAAATAAAAAACTACTGTAGGCCTTCTTACAATAGGATTAGTTTCTTACTGTCGAATCTTATCATCATGATATCAGATTTAAAATGCATACAAAACAAACAGTTTTTAATACAACTCTAACGGTTAAAAATAAAAAATTATTAGTAATTTATTTTTCTGATATTACCAAAGAAACCCCCAATAAATAAATAAACTGGAGAGATTTTTATGTTAGTCTTGTATCATAGGAAATTGAAATTACAAATTGGGATTTGATGTGCATATCATAAAATTATTATTCTACCCATACTTTATATAATTTTTCAGCATTTATTTTGTAAAAATTATTATTTTATTCTGTCAGTAGGAACTGATATTTTTAACCATCAGATAAATTTTTTGACTGTTAAATCTATATGTTTACATTAAAATTTATAGCATGCGATACTGAACTTCTCCTGGTCACAAATCAAATCGCTGAAAAGCTAATATAACTACTAAAACAGTAGTTTTGCTAATCGTGTAAAAGAGTATTTTTATGTGACAGTCATCAATATCTTGAGACAAAAGGTCCAAGAAAGAGTAAGCTATACAATCACATCGCTTGGGATGGCCATAGGTAAGGTTTATAAGGAAGGGTACCATCACCCACAAGTATGATGCCTTTTGGGGTGATGTTCAAGAGTAAAACCGTGCTAGCTCAGGTCCAAAGCAGACAATATCAAACCAAATGTAGGTGCGTGTCGTTACATTTTACCATAAAAGTTCTCATTTACTACTATACAAGGAAATTTAGTAATTTTACTAGTTGGACTCCACGTTCTATGCATGTGGGGAGTAATCGTGTATTATGTTTTAACTACAGTGTTATTATTAAAAGTATATAACATTTGAATGTAAAATCTAAAAAAGGAATTAAAATGAAAAAAATAAAGTTTTAGGGTAAGAAGCCAAAAAAAAGGTAACAGAGCATTAAAATGAAAAAATAAATAAGTTTTATGGAAAAAAGACCAAAATGGAAAAAAAATAAAGTTTTAGAGCAAAAATTTAAAAATGGGTCAAAAAGGACCCAAAAGGAACCAAAATGAGAAAAAATAAATTAAATTTCAAAGAAAAAATAAAAAAAGGTAATAAAAGGCCAAAAAAGAAATAAATAAGATTTAGAGCAAAATGGACCAAAACGAAAAAAGAAAAAGTTTTAAGACAAAAATTTAAAAAAAGGTAAGAAAAAGGACCAAAGCAAAGAAATAAATAAGATTTAAGACAAGAGAAACCAAGACGAGAAAAATTTAAGCACTAAAATAAGAAAAGGGCAAAAATGACTAAAATTTAGAAATAAATAAGGTTTAGGGTAAAAGTAACTAAAACAAAAAAAATAAAGTTTCAGTTAAAAAATTAAGAAAAAAGGAAAAAAATATACCAAAATGAAGAAATAAATAAGTTCTAAGGCAAAAGGAACCAAAATGAAAGAAAAATTAAATTTCATAACAAAAATATAAAAATGGTTAAAAAAGGAGAAAAATAAAGAAATAAATAAGTTTTAGAGCACCGCTGGAAAGAAATATCATAGGATAACATCTGAAAAAAATTATAATAATTTACCTAAACGAAAGAAGAAAAGTTAAAGTAAGAGCAAGAACCAAAAATATTAAATTTTGAGGGAAAAAAGTAAAAGAAAAAACCATCAAAGGAAAAAAAAACCCTCAAAAGCAAAATAAAAATCGTCACAAAGGGACAAAATAGGGACCAAAATTTGAGTAAATGCATTTTCTTTTCTTTTATAATTATTTATGGATTAGTTTTACATTTTGCCAAAGTTTTCTAAATACGGGGCCTGATAAAGGGCAAGTGACATTGATTGTCCTCATTTGTGGACACGTGAATACACATGGTCAATTCCTATTAAAATCCTGAATTTTAAACTTCACGGATCCAATTACAAAAATTTTTAGTACAGACCAATCCACCAAACACATAAATTTTAAGGAGGTCCCATGCAAAAAAGTAGGGGTGTTCGTCGGTTTTGGTCGGTTTGGTGGCCGAACCGACCATGTCGGTTTCTAAAAATTGGGAACCAAAACCGAACCGCAAAATGCCCTATTCGGTTCGGTTAACCGAAGGTTAGTTTTCAGTTTTAGTAATCAGGATGGTGACCATAGTTAACCATCAGGTTAACAGCATATTTAGTTGCGTTTTTTGACCAGAAATTGCGAAAAAAATGTAAAACATTCCTTCTATGCAAACATATAATCACAATAAATGAATACAAAGTACAACACCCAAATTGATAACACAAAATATCCAAATCCAATGTCCAAAATCCAAAGGACAAACTAGAAAACTAGAAAGTTACAACAAACAATACTAATATCCAACGGACAAACTAGAAAACTAGAAAGTTACAACAAACAATACTAATGTTCAAAGTGTAAAAAAACATTAAATTGGCATGAGAAATTAAGAAGTCCAAATTGGCAATGTTTCTCACTTGGATCGTTGCACATTGTGCAGGTAAAGGAAAATTAGAGTTCCAGCAAAATTACAACAAATATAAGGCTACTTGCTGTAGCATGAGTTATATAATTAAGAATTAACTTCTAGTTGCAGAGTTTTTTATTTTTTTCTTGGGGAATTTGTAGTTACATGGTTGATCGAATATTAGGGGTGTCTCAATTTTTTTTTCCCTAAAAATGTTGTTATAAACTGTTTTGTGATATACCTCCACACGCACATTGAAAAAAAAAAAAAAAAAAACACCGTTTTGGTGATATAGTTTGTGGATTTCCTGATGTTAATTGTTGTTTCTCTTTCATTTAATTCGTTTTGCATAATGAGAAAGTAGATTGTTAATAATATTCATAACTTGCGATGAGTATAATTAAGTTTAGCTAACATAAGCATCCTCCACAAACTTAACAGGAAAGTTAGGAGGGTGATCAAAATCAGACCGAGAGCATTAGGAAAGAGATTGGCCAATCCCTTTGTTAGGGTTTTGAGAGCTGGGAGCTGAGGCTCATCCGCTCATGTGCTTCTACTTTTAAGATAAGAAGGGATAGAAATAAAGAAATTAGGATCCAGCGGAGATTACCTGGAGAGTGGAGACTCGACGCGACAGGAAGGGGGCAGCCCGGACTCCGGCGGAGATTAACTCGGACGGTCGGATACGAAGCGGCGGCGCCGGCGGCTAAGCTAGGGTTTTTTTCCTCCAAATCTGAGACTGAGAGAGTGAGACAGAGAGAGATTGTGAGTGAGTGTGAGAGAGAGACGAGAGTGAGAATGAGTAAAGTAAATAAATGAGAGACTGAGAGAAGAGTTTTAAACGGTGAGAAGAAAACGATGAGAAATGAAAAAAACGACAACGTAAAAAAAATTATATAACCTCTCGGTCCGTTCGGTTTATAACCGAATTTCATTAGCCTAACCGAAACCGAACCACATTAAGCAGTCCAGTTTGGTTAACCGAACTGACTTTTATCGGTTTCACGTGGCGCCGTATTTTTTGGTTTTGGAGCGATCGATTCTTTAGTCAGTGGTGGTTAGTTTCGATTTTACGATTTTTTTGTACAGTCTTACAAAAAAAACACAATAAAGATAATTTAGTTGTTTTATTACTTGTTAGTTTTAGTTTTCTCTCCAAATTTCCTTTCAATTTTAGACATATTAAAAAAGGTGGGTCCAGCAGAAGATTCAATTCCTCTTATTTTCCTTACATTCAAAATATTACTTCGACTAAATACCATGATTTCTAAATTTTCACTCCAAAATTCCTCTACCATTTTCCTTCCTTTCACTTTTCATCCCTAGCAAACATGACATTATTGTATGTGCTTATGATTTTTTTTTCTCCTTTAGAATTTAGTATTTTCATCTTTGATCTTTTCAAGCTTGTTTACTCTTTCTTAACCATCTATTTTAGGTTTACTAAAAAACTATTAATCTGTTTGATTCACCTAGTCAGCCCATTTCAACTCAATTTGTGTAACACATCGATGAATTAAACATGATTAATTAAGATAATTGGGATATATTAGTGTGCCTAATATGATTTAATTAATTAATTATGTTCAAGTTTAAAATTTCTAAGGATTCTAAATATTTTTAGTATTTACATTTTCACCCAGAAGTGTGTAGAGATATATTTTCTGGTCTACTTTCCTAAAGATCATATGTTGTTTATCTTTTTCTTTTTCTTTTCTTTTCTTTCTTCCTCTTCCCTCTCACTCTCTCACGTAACTCTCTCTCTCTCAGATCTCTCACACCCTCTCTCTCTCTCTCCCGTAGCTCTCTCCCTCTCTCTTTCTCTCAAAATTTGTCACATTTTCTCAAGAAACTTGAACCAAAAAGGAACCTTAAGAAGTTTTTAACATCAAAGGAAAGGATTTCTAGTAAGATTTCTAAAAATCTTCTCTTAAATCTTGGATTTTTCCTTTGGAAAAATTTATTTTCAGTTTAAGTTTGATTTTGATGGTTTTGGTGGAAATCATGGTGAAATTTAGGGAAATTTGATTCTTTGGACTTGATTGAGTATTTGGAACATGGATTTGTTGTTTCCTTTGAAAATATTTCGGAATTGAACTCGAATTTGTAGGTTTTGGCTCTGTTTTTTTTTTGGATCGGCCATGTCAGCCGATCTGTTCAACTCCCACCGGGGTCCGGTCGACCGGTCCTTTCTCCATCGGCCGACCGGTAGAGAACAACTTCTCTGTCACCAGTTGACCGGTACACACACGGTTCGATCCTGTTTTGCCTTAAAATGCTGTTTTGACATCAAATTTCAAAGAGAACCTAAATTAGCTTCATTTGGGAACCTAAAGAAGATGGATTAACATCTTTAATCCATGTTTTGAGATCAAAATCCTTGGAATGATGATTTGAGTCATGAATTGATTATGAAACTTGGAATTAGATTAAGGCACACTAACAGGAAATCAATATATACAATTGAGCTTGATTTGTTTTAGGAATAAGGATTAAGTTCTAAAACATTGTTTTGTGACAATGCTAGTTGAGGAATCGGATTAAAAGCTTTGAAGGAAGTGGGGGCAAGGATACCGAGAGGCTAGCCACATGTTTGGCATTTGAGAGGTAGGATTTCTTGTCCTTTTGTTTGTGAGCCTATTTTTAAGAGTTTTGGCCTGTACAAAATGTTTTAAAGAAATGACATGATTGATAAAGAAAAGTATTTTAACACAATAGCTTGATTTTAGCTATTGGAATCATAATGAACTATTTTAAAGGTTTAATAAATATTTTCTTAAGATAAGATATCTTACGAACTGGTATGCCCGCAGATGGCCTAGATAGGATATGCAGAGTGTATCCTCGGGGGCATAACCCGAAACCCGGACCGGGCCACTACGGTGGTATTAAGGCTTATGCATATGGTTGTGTAAGTAATTTATCATAGTTATAAATTACTTGTTGATGCTTGTAATACGAAATTTTGAGTTTATAATTCCTTTTAGGAAAAGGGATGTTAGGTCCCAGCTATTGTGTTGGCACTTTACATTTCTATTCATTTATTTATTTACTTATTTACTTGTTTATAAAGTTTTTCTTAAATACATCCTACTGGGTCTTCTGCTCATGTTTTCATGTTATTTCTATATATATAATAAACCCCTCCCAAGTGACGCTAGAAGCAGTGCAGAGTAAGTAACAATCTCTGACAACCCTAGTTTGTGTGATTCAAGAAGAAGAAGTTGAGCTATCTATCATCCTTGTGTATACATGTAAGGATTGTAAACTGTTAGACTGTAAACTTTAAATATCTAGAATGTGGTTGATGTCTGTAAATGTTCTTTACATGTTCATGTATGTACAATATTGTATATCATCTTGATGAGACCCTGAATGATGCCATAGGCTTAATTTTTAAACATGTTTTATCAGAAAGTTGTGAAAGTCCCCTTCACTTTCTTGTAAATTAATTTTATCAAAATGTGAGGCTTGTTTGGAATTTCTTTGAAGTTTCACTTGTGAAATTGATTATTATATTTTTAAATGCTTAATTACTTTTTTAATTATATTTAACTTCTAAACGAGTCTTCACATCACTAACTCTTATATTAGGCGTGACAATTTAAATGGCTTTAAAGTCCAAAATGACGTTTGGTTTAGAAAATTATTTGAATTGGACGACCCATTTAAACTGAATTGTCCAAAAGCGAGTTTAACCCCTCCCATTAGTTCTACTTTTCAAACCATTCATCTACAGTACACTCACTCCCACAATTCTGATTTTGTCCGTCATGAGTATGTGCTCTCATGTGAAACTCCACTCAGTCGGCTTTTCAAACTTCATTCAAAACTTGGTCCATCACTCCCACATTTTTTTCTCTAAACATTTGCTATCAAATTGCCTTCAATTCTGGGTATATGGTATTATATTGCCATATTTGTTTATTTTGTTTGCTACAAATTAGCCATAGTTCGCGTGTTTCCAAATAATTATCCAAAAAAATTTTAAAAACTCTATTTTATTTACTTTTTTTATTTTCTTTAATGTATTTTTAGTCAACTTTTAATTTCATTTGATCAAAAAATATTATTATTAACTGCAATTAAGTTCAAACTACAGTTTTTGAGACTTATCTAAACACTAATTCATATTTTATTCCCTGCTCGGATTAAAAATTCTACTACATATTCAAACGAGCAAGTGCAAACTACTGTTTGAATTTTTCTATTCAAATAAAAAAAGTTCAAATCAATACAATTCAAGCTAGCGAACCAAACGCGCACTATACTTCTTGTGCTAGAAATAATGGGGTTCTAAATACTCATTAATCAAAACATTGAACCCAAAAATAAAACTATCAAATTGGATTTGGAAGCATATAGAAAAACTAGGGTTGTTCGTCGGTTAAAAACGTCAGTTTTAGTCAGTTCGGTGGCCGAACCGACTAGTTTGGTTTTCTAAAACCGTGCACTGAAACTAAACCGCACAAGGGAGTGGTCGGGAATTCAATTTTCGATCGGTTTTCAGTTTTGGTAATCAAGAAGGGAACCCTCAGTAAACCATCAGGTTACAAACATCTTTAGTTGCATTTTTTGACCAGAAAATCTGAAAAAATAAAAAAAAAAACTTTCCTTCTATGCAAATCTATAATCACAATAAATGAAAACGAAGCACAACATCCAAATTGATAATACCACAAACACAAAATATCCAAATCTAATGTCCAAAATCCAAAGTACAAACTAGAAAGTCACAACAAACAATACTAATATTCAAAGTTCACATATAAAGTTCACAACACAAGGGTAAACAAATTAAAAATTTTAAAAATTAAACAAATTAAAAACAACATCACCCATATGATGCCAACTTTAATGATCACTAATTTTTAGAATCTTTCATTAGATATAATCAAGTATTATGCCATCATAACACCTCGAAGAATTAAACAAGATTAATTATAATAATTGGGATGTATTAGAGTGCCTAATATGGATTTTATTACTTAATCTTGTGATTAAAGATTAAGATTCCAAGCGACTGTATGGAATTTTAAATTACTTTCAGTATTTCTATTTCTGCACCAAAACTTTTAACCATTTATTCATTTTACCTTATTTAGTTATTATTTCTCCATTTCTATCATTTTTCATTTTTTTCTTTCCCTCTCCCTTACCCGTGAGATACTCTCACTCTCTCTCTCCCTCCCTCCCTCCCTCTCTCTCTCTCTCTCTCTCTCTCTCTCTCTCTCTCGCACATTCTCACTCTCTCTCACTCTCTCTCACTCTTCCTCTCTCGTCTCTCTCTTTCCCTCTCTCCTAATCTCGTCACACACTCTTTGAGTTAGATCAAGAGGAGATTAAGTTCTCCTTGAGTAAACAAACCAAAGAGCAAGAGATTTTGAAAACTGTTTGAGAAACCCTTCTTTGATTTCGAATCTTCTTTAGAAAGCTGTGATTTGGCTTAGTTTTGATGATTTATGGTTTCAACTCAATTTTTAGTTGCAATTTTGGTTGGAATCCATGATGGAAATTTGGGTGTTTTGGTTTCTTGGACTTAGAAAAGTATTTGGGCATTGGCTTATGTGATTTCCTTATGAATTTTCCTAGAAAACGAACCCAAAATCCTGAGTTTTGCAGGTTTTTGAGCTGATTTGGTGAGCTTTCCTCGCCCTGCAGATGTCCACTAGTCGACCAATGTGGTCGACCGGTCAGCACACCACCGGCCGACCGGTGGTGATGCACATCTCTGCCACCAGTCGGCCGGTTGACAGAGGAAAAAGGGCCGAGTTGA